TCTTCCAAGTAGGTCCCTGAAGGGGCTAAAGTTGGCCCTCCTGAAGTCCATGGTTGCAAGGCTACTTACAGCCCTGCCTCCTCCTCGTTGGATCCTGAACTCCACCAACTCATGGTCACTGCAGCCGAGGCTATCCCCTACCTTCACATCTCCTACAAGTCCCTCTCTATTTGATGGCACGAGGTCCAGTAGCCCACCTCTCCTCGTTGGCTCCTCCACAACCTGCGTCAAAAAGTTATCATTGACGCTCTGCAGGAACCTCCGGGACTGTTTGTGCCTGGCTGTGTTGTCTTTCCAGCTGACGTCAGGGTGGTTGACGTCCCCCATGAGAACCAGGGCCTGCGACCATGAGGCTACTTCCAGCTGTCTGTAAAAGGTCCTGATCAGGTGGCCTGTAGCAAATGCATAGAAAAGCACCTGGGCTCATAAGCATGCCTCAGTTTAGTGGAAAGATGAATCATTTTTGTGTAGTTACAGGTCTTATGAAAAACCGTAAGAGAACCTCTGTCATCTATTTTTTTGCATTAGCTTGTGGTGGATACTTGGCTCATGCTTAGAGGAAAATATGACCACCCTGAATTATGTGTCTGCAGTGCAGAACCTCTAAAATCATAAATATTGTCTTGCTTATATTCTGCTTATTTAGATTTGCATGCAAATGACCTAAAAAGGGAACTGTGGCATAATTCAAAGTGTAGAGCTAAAGAGAAATATGTACCAAAAACCTTGTCAGAATAATATTTCACTATAGAAAGGAGCTCTGTAAAGATGAAGACATATTTCACTACAGAAAGCAGTTTTGTAAAGATCAAGACCTGCATAATTCAAAATGACACCATCCTGTCAACAGTTGGCTTTAACATTTTGCCAGTGAGATGTAACCTAAAGTATCTATGAAGAATAGTGGCAAAAAAGACTTTGTAGTTAAGAAGTCAGGAAGCATTTTTATTCAGTCCATTACTGTATTTTGAATAAGTTTTTATGAACTGGTTATATTGCTTTAGGTTGTTATATATTTCGACGGAAGTATATATGCTGCACTTGCATATTTATAAAATTGACTGACAGCATATCATTGCAGAAAGTCAAGACTTCACTCATTCCTTTGCCCTTCTGCAAAGAGTGACAGAAAACCCATCTCAGCAGCAATCCCAGGGGATCCACCGCCTCTTTTCAGTGCATATCCCATGCTTTATGAACTCCTCAGGTAACAGGACTAGATGGCAAATGGATACTCCGTTTTGCATCTGCACTAGCCCCTCTGCATCTTTCAGGTCTTACCTGCAACAGTAACGGACACATTATCATTATGTTGTCTAAGCCAGACAGATTCGATTGTCTGCACAGTTTTTAGTAACTAGTTACCCCTGTATCTGTGGTTGAGCTCCCTTCTCACCACCCCTGTGAGCATTACTTTGGGCTGCCTGAGCTGGGAAAAGGAAAGAGAGGGATGTGAAACTTCTGGAGAGGATCCAGCGTGGAGCAACGAGGATGATTAAGGGACTGGAACATCTATCATGTAAGGAAAGACTAAGAGAGCTGGGCCTGTTTAACCTGGAGAAGACTGAGAGGGAATTTGAACAATATGTACAAATACCTGAGGGAGAATGTAAAGATGGGCCAAACTCTTCTCCGTGGTGGCCAGTGACAGGACAAGGGGTAATGGGTGCAAGTTGAAACCCATATGAGAAAAAACTTCTTTACTGTGAGGGTGACAGAGCCCTGGAACAGGCTGCCCAGAGAGGTTGTGGAGTCTCCTTCTCTGGAGATCTTCCAAACCCGCCTGATGCCGTCCTGTGCCACGTGCTCTAGGTGTCCCTGCTGGAGCAGGGGGTTGGACTAGATGATCTCTAGAGGTCCCTTCCAACCTCAACCATTCTGTGATTCTGTGATACAACAGTGAAACTAGGCTTGATACTCAGACCTCTGAACCTGGGTTGCAGGGGGTGCCTAACTGAAAAGCCTGTTGTTGTGATCTACAACACCTCACAAAATATGGTCTAAATTTGAAAATCTATTAATATGCTGTCACTGCCATAAAAAGAAATCTCTCCTTTTCTTGCTGCTCAGTATTTTAGTAAGCCTCAGTACTTGGTAACTGCAGCATATTCAGTGAACGCTCTGCAGCAGGCGATGGACAGTGTCAGGCAAACCCAACCCAACCCAGATCTCTGCACTGGGTGTGGAAGCTCTGCAGGATATTTGCGTGCTTGCTGGAGGAAGTGACGAAATTACTGTAACAACGAACAGAATATTCACTGCTTGTTAACATACAGAGGCAGCCTGGAATATCCTGGTGTTAAGGAAGGCTGGATATTCTTAAGTGGCAGAATTTAGGAACTCGGGGATAAAACTCAGCGGGATCAGGCTATTAATGTTTTCTTGAACCAATAGATCAGTACTGACATTTCTTCTCTATCTTATTATGCAGCGTTTAGTCTCATATCAGTTCTGCTCAGCCTAAGTAATGGTATCTTCTTCAGCACTTTTAGTCCCTGTGCTCTCTTTCCTACCACTATCTCTTTACCAAAAAGAAGTGCGTACCCGGTGGAAGCCATTGAAGCAAAATTGTCTGCTTCAAATTTTGTTTTTAAAACTTAAGAAATAGAGACATCTTACATTCACAAATGAAAACATTCAGCTTCTTGTAGGTCCCCCAGCCAATCTGGCACAGGACTATATCCTAAAAACTTCTGTCATCAGTCTTAAAGACTCTGCTAAGTCTAAGATGTAAGTCTAAGATGTAATGAGACAGAACGGAATTAGTTTAAGTAATAAATGTTTAATCAAAGAATTTTACATATTATTAACAGCATTCATTTGGCCAAACATCTACATGGTTGTAGTATCCTACTTGTATATAAAGTGGGAATGTATCAAGTATAGACTATGAAAGTGCAAATAACAATTCAAGGTTAGATTAATTTTTTTACATTATAAAATTAACAGGTTTACAAAATAGTCTTGCCAAACTTTATTTTTGAACTGTAAAGTCAATGACTATGGTGTTAAAATAAGTACCAAGAAAATACAAATTTAATAGGGTAATTTCATGCTCATTAAGAGTAACACAGAAACAATGGATATACTGCACAACCTAACCAAATTACAGAAAACCAGAACCCACAAATTTCACTATCTTCACAGAGAGCACTCCTACATATCTTACTGCAGCTTTGCGAGACGCTTCAAGGCAATACACACGGTCATTGTGAGAATCGTCCTATTCAGAAAATACAATTCCAGGAAGCTATGTGAGTTAAACAACTTTCAGACCAATTCATGATGATAGTTCATAAAGAACTATTTTAGATTCTTTTATACCATTGAACAATTAAAAATAGATATTTTTCAAACATGTCCAAGAGTTCATGATTATGTTGAGAACAGGGCAGCTAGAGGAAAAGTTGGAGATTGGTTGGAGACTATTCTAGTCCATTTTCCCTAAAGAGGCTTGCAAAATGACTTAGTCTTTTATGGGAAAAGGGTAAAATATTCTTACCTCATTTTGTACTAATATGAACCCTGTGGCTGCAAGGTTCAAAAGCAGGATTTGCGTGAATTAGTTACCAAAACACTCACTTGAACTCACAGTAACCAATACATAAACTTTGCTATCATGACACTTGCCTATACACACTCAGTAGTAATAAACTTTTATATCATATCAACAAATCTCTGGTAACAGTTAAGCAAAACTTAAAATGGAGTGTACATAATTTACTTGTATTATGACAGGCTTTGATTATATGTAATTAGAACAGCCATTTCGACAACTTACTCTAGTTGTAATTACATACTGTACCATTGTATCTCACTAACTGTAGACTGATGCTTTTAAGCAAATCTAAAACCAGTATTTTTTTTTATTTTTTTTTTCCCACGGTACAACAACTAGGAAGAGGGTTTTTTGTTGTTTTTACACTAAACAGTAATCACACAGCAAATGAATATTGTGCAATTGAACAGATACCTACAGTGTTTTGTTTATGCAAAAACACTGACTGAACATTTAGTTATTTACTGTAAAGGCAAGGCCATGGGTGGTTTTATGGAGGTCTTTGCAATTAATAGCATAGTTACTCCAGAACAGACACTGAATTTGAATTACTTGTTTAACTGTGGCAACTATCCAGTTGGATTAGGCAAAGGCACCGTAACATGTTGAACAAACTGTGTTATTTGAACTTTAACTGTGGGAGTGGCTAATATATGAAAACTCTGTATTCCTATATTTTTATAAAATGTTATCATTAAAAGTAATTGCACTATTAGTGCATAGAATGCTTTGTAGAATTATGAAAACAAAGAGCTATGATTGCACTTCCATTAAAGTGTCTCTTAAAATACAGCATAGCTGTTGCTAACTAACTGTATTTTAATATTTAAAATAACTGTTTAACAGCAGCATTAGGTTTCATTAACTTAAGATAGAGGCTACATTTAATTAAATGCAGTCACCATGGCAATACATGCCAGTTAAATTTAGAGAAGCAATGCTACCCAGTGGTTTCTTTCACTACTAAAAACTGTGGGATTAGTCTGATAGAGTAACACTGCACTGTTTCATTAGGCTACAGCCAGCTAACTATTCACAGTTTGGCACATTTGGACTGTAAATAGACATGAAAAAATCTTTGATTTTAATGTGAAAGTAAATCCTCTATAACTTGTTCCTGCAGCAGTACTAAAGAGAAGCACTGAATACCTCAGTTCACACTGCTAACAAAAATGAAAAATGAGTAAGGAAAAGTTACGGAAAACAAAAACAAAATGCAAATGAATTACTAAATATCACTTTGATGAAAGAATCTGTTCTAAAAAAAAAGGAATAAACTATTTCTTAGGAAAAACAAACAAAATAATCAGTGTAAGCCTTTAATCCATACTTTCAAGTTAAGGATCATCAACCTAAGGCTAAACAGATGCTGCATTGTATTAGGAATGTGGAGTACAACCTACTTATTCCTTTTTCTTGAGAGCAAAAAGGCAAGTTCTACCTAACTAGATGCAAAGGATATTCCTGGAAAGGTTCACACTGCTGGGAGGAAGGGCACTCAAGGGAACCCCAGGCGGCCGCTCTCACCGGGCGGTTACAGCGGAGCTGCAGTCGGTGGATCGAAGCCTCCACGGCGCTCGCTCCACCCTCTCTACCATCCCTCACCGCCATGCGCTCACTCCAGGCCTCACTCGTGTTCACACCAGGTGCACGTGCTCCATCCAGTCACTTGAGGTCTGAGGAAACTGACTTGGAGCATCTTCCGAAGCCCCGACGCTGCTCGGTACTTCCCTGCTACGATCGCTGCCTTGCGATACCGTTTCACCCGGAATAAGGTTTTCTTCCGAAGTACTCCCCTCTGTTTGGGTTCCTCTGCCCTCATTTTTGAGTGCATCCTCAAACAGTGCATGCTCCTCCTGAGGCTCCAGGCCTGTGTCTATAAGATTTGCTTGCCCTGCTGACCCATCTTCAGTACTGGGCTGCTGCGAATCCTCATCTGTTTCCGTACTTGCTGAGGGGATCAGAGCAATGCTCTGTGGGTTCATGTCATGAAACCAGGCCATAATATTTCCAAGAAGATTTTCACTGGTGTTGGGATCCTGGCTGCTTGAATCCACGTCACTAGATGTTGAGTATAACCCGCTCCTTGTGTCGCTGCAGGGGTGCGAGTGAAGACGGTCGGCTGCAAAGGGGTCACTGCCTGCACCGAGTCTCATCAGGCTGTCACCAAGTTCCAGCAGCTCAGAGCTGCTCAAGGCCGACCTCGGGTTGTCTATACTCATGGGAGCAGAGTCCAGTCTGGTAGGCAAGGAAGTACCTATTGCTCCTAGGGATGCCTCATTGTTTAGAAAGTCTCTAGTTTCTTCGTCTATGGCCAAGCCAGATTCTTGCAGTGATAACTGAATAGCTAGCAGGATGTTTGGGTCATCTTCGTCTAAAGAACTCAGAGCCTGTGGAAATACAGAGGGTGGCTTTCAGAATAAAACTTTCATCTGGTAAAAAACGAACTCGGATTAGGAGCAATTTGGTCTCAAATCTGAAATTCATTCATTATTGCCACATGTTGTTTATCAGAATCAGTGTTTACCAACTCAGTACTCTACAATTGCCATTGGAATTTAAAAGCTTCCTGTGGTGACATTAACAATTGTTTAGCAGGACTTACCAGTGTGAATGTACAATTTTCTTGTCCTAGATTCTCCCTTTCCCATCGAAGAATTACGAAAATTTGCAGAGAAACAAAATGATACAGAAAAGCACAGCACAGGAAGGCAAACAAAGCAGAGAGAATGGAAAAGAGATTAGGGGAGATACCTGAAGAGAATCCTGATTTTCAGAGCGACTGACAGGGGTATAGTCATGAAGCGAAGAGCTGTGCAGAATACCCATAGAGGCTGAACTCACCATGGAGGTGCCGTGTCTTCTACTGCTGCCACCTTCTTGAGTGTCTGTTTAGGTAATTGAAACAAAAGTATTTAAAGAGCTAGTTGGAAAAGCCTTTGTAACTTCTCTACTTCTCTTCTTGTTTTGGATTCCAGCTGTGCACTTTTACTCCTTTTTTCACTCTGAAATAAATAACCTAAAAATATTCCACTTGGCCTTTCTGTCCCACTTGCATTCTGGATCTCCCTCTCTCATTCTGTTGTTCATTGTGATCTGGCTCTTCACGATACTCTTTATGGCAAATGCTGCCAGAAAGTTCTCAGCAAGTGGGAGAGCTTGGATTGTCCCTTTGTGCTGGCTTGTGACTTTGTGTCCTCAAAAATGGCCAATTTTCAGTGCCTTTCTTCTATTAGTTACACTGTTGTGCAAGATACTAGGGGAATTCAGTGTGAATTAGAGCTTAAGATTCACTCAAGACATATGGGATACATTTACAGGTGGCTAAAAACCAAAATTCAGCCCATTTCTCTGTTTTTGAAAAGACAACTCAGCTGTAGTACCACCATAACACTGCAGCACAATTAGGAGTCACTCATGTATGTCTTGGCAATCAATGGCAGTACTCTTAAAAACGAACGAAACAAGAGAAGTAAAATGCTGTTTCCATAAGAGAACTTACTCTGTAACAAAAAGAAACATAGTTCTTTTGACTTTAATGTGTTTATGGGTTGTTTATGGGCTGTCTTTGCCAAGGCAGGAGTTTCTGCACAGGATTTGGGAGGGCAGCTGTATGACAACCTTCCCATGTGGCTGCAGCAGGGGAGGCTGCTGCTTGAAGCTTGAGCTTCAGCTGCTTTGTGAAAATTTGTCACAAACCTTCTTCAGGAAGGTAAATCAGCGCTGAGTAGCTGAGGAGTAGTTAGTAGGGAAGATAAATGCATTTCTCCTTAAAAGGAGCATCCACAATTAAGTCAGCAACACTTTTAACATACCCATAAGTGGAAGAATAACGCTGCATCCTGGACAACACAGCAAAGTCTTTGAAACTTCCTTAAAATATATCCACAGGAGAACAGCCACTGTGGACTCTGCTAGTGAGGTGAAGAGGAAGGCAAGAAGGAAGGGACACGGTGTGACGGCAGGGACCTACCTAAGGTGCTCTCACTAGGGTCATCCGGGTCTGGAGTGTTGCTCAGCAGGCTGTGCATGTCCCCACGTCGGCGCTGCCTGTGCCGCCTCCGATACTGAAATTCAGCATATTCCTGCATAAACCAAAGGTTACAAAACACAGGGCAGCATGCAGGAATATTTTTCTGATGTAACAAGCTCCACACTTTTGTTAAAAAAAAAAAGTGTGATTTTATAGGTTTATTATAAAATCACCTCTTCTCAGAAAAATAAATTGCAGGTCATATCATGCAATGCATTAAAAAAAGACACCAGGTAACACTAAATAAATAAAACAGTGAGCTAGCAAATAAAATGATTTGAGGTATTGCAGATATTTTAATACTTGCAATCTCCCTTTTTATAGATTTTTTTTTGCTTAAAGGTTTGATACCGAGCTTTACACACATATTTCACACACACGTTTCTTTATAAATATACACCTAGTAATTTTAGAATGTAAAAACAATTTATTTATCCCCAGACCATCTCAGGGTCTTCTGGCCACCAATGGCCAGTAGAAAATACCAACTAAAGGCTACAGACACTGCTGGTAACTTGTAATATTTTCCCAACCTCTAGGACATGATAGCTCAGGAACTTCTAGGAGGCTCAGGATCCCCTTCTGCTGATGAGTCTTTCATGGATTTTTCTTTGATGAATTACAAGTCTCCTCTTTATTTTTGCCTAATGAGAGTTGTTAATGAGCCACAACACAGAGATCTGAACCCCTCCAGACAATAATTTTTCATGTTGGGCATATTCACCAAGGACATTTTATTTGTCTTATTTGTAGGGCAGACCCACTTTTGACTATGTCAGACTACATCTCTCCCAGGGGTTTATTATCTTAATGCCTGCATATAAATATTTGTATTTCCTGCTTTAGCTAATATTAAGAGGCTGATTGTATTCCAGAAGGCAAATTTGGCACTTTCCAGATATAATTTTTGGTTAATACAGTTGACATTGAATCTGGCTAGGTAGGTAAGATCTTTTGTTAATCTAAGTTATTTACTTACACAAGGCAATAAAAATATATGGACAGGCAGTAGCTCTTCTGAGATGAATACTAATATTTTCTAAATATTTTCTAAACTGCAGGTCCTTTAGCCAAATACCTTGGGAAAAACAACATCACCACTAACACGCTATATACATTATCCCTGAATACCTCCCAGATACTTAACATTTAAATCGGAAAGTGTATTTTCTCATACACCAAGACCTCAGTAATTTTAAGGGCATTATTATTGTATGTTTTCTTTCTTTGAAGCTTTTCAAACGAACTTTTCATTCATTATGACATATGCAAGCCAAAAAAAAATGTTACAAAATGATCAGTGTGAGCAGATTCTTATCTATGTAAGAAGCTCCATGAAAATTTTAAGAACATAAAAATCACTGTACTGGATCAGCCAATAGGTTCACCTAGCCCAGTATTCTCTCTCTAGCAGCAGCAGTAGGTGGTTGTTGGCCTAGGGAATGGCATAAAAACAGGACAAGCATGAAGTGAAGGGCGCTTTGGGATTCCTAATCTGAAGGTTACTATTATTTTGTGTTCCTATGCTCCTGCACCCTCCAAACAAAGAAAGTCCAATCTTGGCAGGCAAAAAGTAGATAGTATCACTACGAGTCAGAGAAGGAATGATGAAAATTGAACACTAAGATTTATAAATCGTATCATATCTTGTTTTTCATCTGTTTGCCATAAAATCATAGATTTTACCTGTAGCCATTTGGCTGCTTTTATGCTTTAAATAGTCATCTGGAATACTGCCAAAACAATTTTATTTCTGATTATTTGGAAAGACTTTATATGTTTGGGCATAGCAAGTTCTAATTTTATGGGGCAGAAATATAGAAATTTCACACAGTAGCCTAGAACAAGTGGTGCTCTTTGCTGAAAAAGAAACAGTAAGATTTTGTTTTCTGTGACCATCTGGTGTACACAGATGTTCTACTACCTGTCAGTAAAAGCACAACATTATATCTAAATTCTGCAGTGCAGTTCTCTTAAAAATAGGCAAAGATGAGCATCACTAATGCTACTGAATTCCTTTAGCACAGGTGGTTGCAAGTATCTTCAACAACTATGCAGCAAAGAAGCCAACCTGCATCAGGCAATGCTCATTTGGGCAAATCATAAAAACTCATAAGCCATCACTCAGCACGACTGCAATGGTACCCACTGCTCAACAGCTCCTCTGCAGATTGCTTATCTGCCTTTGCTCCTAAAAGGTTCCACTGCTGACATAGCAACATCACACTTTAATACTACAAAACACAGACTTATGTAAAAATGAAAGACTAAAGGAACTAAACAGGAGGAGCAAGCTGATTTTTTGTAGAGAAGCAAGCTATTCTCTCTCCAGCATGATGATGCTAGCCAACAACAATAACAAAGGAAATATATAGAATACAGAGTACATGAAGTTTTCCAGGTTCTTTTAAAATAACTAGCTAGAAAGAAAGCAGCAACAAGGAAATCTTGAGAATTTCCTTCCTAACTGTATGCTTTAATCTAATGATCTTGAAATATTAAATTAAATAAATATTAAGCTGCAAAGTAAAGCTTAATAGGAAGCGTCTCCGATCTCAGTGCTTTCTTCAAAATTATA